CTCAAGTTGTACCATTCTTCTCTTTCATGTCCATAAACACAAAAGTTGTACATTCTTCATCTTTCATGTCCGTAACCCAAATTTGTAGCATTCTTCATCTTTCATGTCCATGAAACCCAAGTTTACATTCTTCATCTTTCATGTCCATAAACCCAAGTTGTACATTCTTCATCTTTCATGTCCATAAACCCAAGTTGTACATTCTTCATCTTCATGTCACATAAAACCCAAGTTGTACATTCTTATCTTTCAGTCCATAAAAAAAAACCCCCCCCCCCGAAGTTGTACATTCTTCAGTTTCATTTTTCAACAGTCTTTTTACAGATAGATAGATCCGTAGAATTTTAGAGAGGAACAACTACAACGTTTACCTCGACGACCCTACGTACTTTGTACTGAAACATAACGTGACACTACTTTCTCAAAGATACAAGGAAACGAGTCACACCTTAACCGACCCGACCATTACCCCTATGCGACACACCTTCCTGTGGTCTCATAGCGTAGCCTATTGCGCCTATCGTTTTGAGTTTTACATTCTCTAGGTCGGACGTTTTTCCCGGGTTCACCGGTTTTGTGTCGGCTTCTACAAATATTTTGTTCACTACACGATAACAGAAATCCAATACACATTACCGTATTTCTAAAAGACGTCAACAATAGAGAACAAAATTGGAATAAAAGGGTAGGGGTGTAGGCGAAGTGTCCTATTGAGCGCACAAGCAGGGATTGAGCCCAGTCCTCCTCGCTGGCTGGTCCCCTCTTCCTGTACCTCTTGTGGACACTAGCTGTCTGCGCTGCCACTCGCCATGCGGTTTGCTTCGTCCATTCAAAATTTCTAGCTGGATTAGTATGTTTTGGGTGGAAGAAGTGGAGAGATGTAGCGTTGTACACACGCGGGAGGAAGAAGGTACAGACAAGATGGTAGTTCGTACACAGGACAAGAACGTACCAGAGGAAAGATGTAGTTGTAGCACAGGTGAAAGAAGTACAAGGAGATGTGACGTTGAGCTGCACAGCGCGTAGGACGAGTAACCAGAGAACGATGTCAGTTGTACCACAGCGGGAGAAGAGGTAACAGAGAACATGTAGTTCGTACACAGAGGCGGAAGAGGTACAGAGAACATGTAGTTGTAGCTGAGGCCACGAGCGCGGGGGGGGGGGGGGGGAGAAGAGGTAAGAGAAGTGTAGGTTGTACACAGCGAGAAGAGCGTACAAGGAGATCTAGTTGTACACGAGGGGAGAAGAGGGTACAGAGAAAGATTGTAGGTCGTACACAGCGGGAGAAGAGGTACAGATGAGATTGTAGTTGTACACAGAGGACGAAGAGCGGTAAGAGAATGATGTAGTTGTATCAAGCATTACTTTCTACTTCTTACATTTTGAACCCAAATACCTGTACTTTCTACTTCTTACATGTTGAACACAAATACCTGTACTTTCTACTTCTTACATGTTGAACTCAAATACCTGTACTTTCTACTTCTTACATGTTGAACTCAAATACCTGTACTTTCTACTTCTTACATTTTGAACCCAAATACCTGTACTTTCTACTTCTTACATGTTGAACACAAATACCTGTACTTTCTACTTCTTACATGTTGAACACAAATAACTGTTCTTTCTACTTCTTACATTTTCCAAACAGGCTGGTTCCTTTAGTCTGAATGTGTGTTTGGTGGCGTGATCATTATTATTTAGAGTCATTGCGTGCCTATTGATTTGAACACGATCCGTGTATCCATCATTTCTTGGTCTTCTTTAAAGAAGAGGGACCAATGAAAACGTTGTCATGTTGCCGTTGTTCAGCATGGAAACATTCATTAGCTAACAATGACATTATTGTTCTATTAATATAAAGGGAGGTCAGGTACTCTTTAAAACAGCTGCTAGTTATGGGTACTTTTTACTGAAGTACATTTCAAAGCCTCTTTACTTTGACTTGAGTAAAGTCAAAGTAAAGAAGTTTAGTCAGTACTTCTACTTTCACCAGAGTATTTTTAAACACGAGTATCTGTACTTCTACTCGAGTAAAAGATGTGTGTACTTTTGCCCTCTCTGTATATGAGTTTAAAGAGCGGGAACCCACCTCACAGGTGGCCGTGCCGTCCCTCTCCATGGTGCACAGAGCGTTCAGATCACAGGGGTTTGTGAGGCTGTTCCCACAGCTGACCTCCGGCTTGCAGCCCTTCACCTGGTCTCCGGAGAAACCCGTCTTGCAGCTGCCGCAGCTATACGAGCCCTGAGCAGGAGACAAGGACAGCAGGTGTCTTTTCATCGCCACATCATTGAGATCATCTTCTGTTTAAGGGAAGTGTTGGGGATGGTTTTCCTACCACAGAGTTTTGACAGACTGAGTTTGCGGCGCAGCCTCCGTTGTTCGTTGCTTTGCATTCGTCAATGTCGTCACAGACCTAAATTAGAAAAAATAAGATGTGTGTTTTTCCGTTTATGTTCAGATTTGGCAGTTACACCACATATAATACAACAAACAGCGGTGGAAAGTGATTATATTGGCTACAGTAATGTTCTTTTGTTCAAAAATGTTGTGCATAATCCACTCTCGTTTACTATCTGATGATAGAATTAGTGTTTAGGTTCTCCTTTATATCAGTTTAGATCACCAGAAGGATCCCACACTTTTTGCCAAATATTTTATAGCATTTTACATACACTGTCTTTATAGCTACAGCTACTACCAATATTGTACTTCTTAAATATAAATGTAAACATATATAACACAGTAGTATTCATGTGTTAATGAGACCACGTTTCAAATAAATTCAGTCAATTCAAGTTGGAAACATTTTCTAACATATCTTAGTTGATAAGAAAAAAGCCCAATGACTTATTTCCATAAGAAGCTTGAAATAAACCCTTCCTATTTCTCCTTATTGTAATCAATCTGAGGCTTCTGGTTTAAGGGCTGAGCTGCCAACACTCACAAGCATCACGTGCCTACGTTTGATGGATATTTCTAACTTATAACTGAACTTACGAGGCGATATACCTCTAGTGAGTGGGCCAGCCCTTCGTATATTTTTCTGTATGTCGCCCTCCCCTGCTCTAAACCTTTCCGGTGTGTAGCTAAGATCCAAATAAAGTCAGATTTTGAAGCTGGGTGTGTTCTGAGTTACAGCACGAAAAGTAGGGGTTTGAAAGTCCGTAAGGAGCCATTGGATCCTCCATATGTGATCCAGTGTTTTACCTGTTTGTTGGTCTGTGCATATATGATGCCCACACCCTCTGTCGCCAGGCCGGAGTATCCCAGAGGACACGCGTCACATCTGAACCCCGGGGCGGTGTTCACACACTTCACTCCAGGGAAGCAGGGGTTAAACTGGCACTGCAGGAAGGAAGGAAGGAAAGAGGACACGAGGACTGTTACAAAAAAAAAATCTGCAAAATGCGTGTGTCTCTCAAGGCTGCTTACCGAAAAAGCTTTTAAGTCTGATGACACTTTGACTCATGCAAAAAACATAATGCTAAAGGGGTCAGGCCTTATGAAGAGGGATGAGAGCAAAGAGGAGAACACACACACACACACACACACACACACACACACACACACACACACACACACACACACACACACACACACACACACACCGAGACAGACACCGAGACAGACACACACACACACAGGCAGGCAGACACGCACGCACGCACGCACACAGGCAGGCAGACACACACACACACACACACACACACACACACACACACACACACACATTCCTGTACCTCCTAATTAACAGACTTTGACGTAATTTCCAAACTTTAACTTTTTCCCATTGCTGTCATTTCTGCAGCTCCTGTGAAGTTTTATTCCCGTTGTCTCACCTCGTTTCTTGTTCACCTCTCTGCTGCCAACGCTTGTTTTAGAGGCAAAATACTTTAATATAAAAAAAGGTCCAAAATAATCACGGCTGGTTTAGTTTGTCTACAATGGCAGCTCCTGTGTGGAAATAGAAACACATTTTGCAGACAGCCTCAGACCGACAGTGACGTCATGTCATTAGAAAGATATTTGCACTTTACCAACCCTCCTATTACACAGCTAATTATCTTCTTTTAGTCATCACATTGGGGGATTGGACAATGGAAAGAGGGTGTTGGACCCCCACTGCTCCTGACCTTTAAGCTAACAGCAGAGGTAAGGGTGAGAATAACAAGCTGGTATTATTCTCCACAAAGAAGGTTATGTTCTGGTATCGGTTTGTTGGTTTGTTTGTTTGTCAGCAGGATTACAGAAAGACTTTGGGCCTGGTTGGAATGAAACTTGAGGGAAAGGTGTAGAATGGGCCAAGGAATGACCCATTACATTTTGAAGCAGATCTGAATCACAGGGTAGATACAAAAATGTGTTTTTAATATTAATGTTGGATAGTGCATGGCCTTGTTGGAGATCTGCGCTCTCTTGAGTGCCTTTTACGATGTCGTTTGAATCCAAAATAAGAATTTGAATATACGGTTTCTTGCTATGCGCTAGGATTAACAGTTCATAAGATTCATTGTCAGACAACTTTACAAATCTTAACCTAAAAATAGCCATTATATGAGGGTGGGACAAGCCCCCCCCACGTTTTAAAATGATTAGTTTAGACCCCCCAGTGTTGCCATAGTTGCGGTGGACAACTTATCATTTGATTATTTACTCTGTAACATTTTTCGTATTGGAATACACTTCAGTGTTTTTATGTTTCATTCCTACAGACTACATGGTGAAAGGATAAGATGTGTGTTGTCAGTATAATACTATTTTATAAAACATTCTCTATTGTTAAAGTGTCTGATACTTGATAACCACGAATACAAAATACCTAACAAATAGTAAAAGTAATGATATCACATATGATATAGTCAGACACTGTGTTATTTCAAATCAAGTCTAATGAATAATTAGTTCACTTGAATGGCTCCTTAGAATGCAATTTTCCTCTGTGGTTTTCTACGCAACACATTTTTGTATTGTAATGCCACTCGTATTGTATTCCTTTGTGTATTGTAAGGTGACATTGAATGTTGTGAAAGGTGCCCTCAAATGAAATGTAGTATTGTTATTGTATCTGTGCCTCTCTCACACAATGTTCTTCTTTTTTTTAGACAAGGTTAATCCTCGTGTCAAGATCTGCACGGTTTCTCCACAGCCCTTGTTCAGCAGACCAGGTGGTGGTGCAGCTGTCTGGTTTGGCACCCCCACTGTCACTTTGTCAAGGGTGGTCGTACTCCCACCAAAATCACACTGGTGTTTGCTGTCCCCCTCTAGTCTGGGCACACACAAGCATTTTACTCTGGGCTCAGCAGGTGAGAAACTAAAGAGGGGCTTCCACATGTGGCAGACCGGGTGTTGGTGCTGCCAGATTTAGCACAATATGACACACACACACACACACACTGAGCCTTACCTCGTCCACATCATCACAGTTGAATCCGTCCCCGGTGTATCCGTCCGGACACGGCCCGCACTCCACGCCGTCGGCCGTCTCTATGCACCGTACATCACGGAAACACACACCTGGACCACACCTGGGTTTCACCACCTCAGTCCCCCCCAGCCCTTTGAAGGAAAGACAAAAAAACAAATTTTGTTGTGAAAATACTGAATGTACTCTTCCAATCTGAGAGTACCATGATAACAAAGGTATCCCAACTGTAGCTGTGAACATGACAGGATGTGTGATTACCTAGAAGAGCATCAGGACTGTTAGAGGCATATGATAGCTATGTGATTAACATGATGATTCAGCCTCTATGGAGAGAGACATATGACAAGCATGATCATTTCTGACGTGGAGCTAATCTGAAGTAAACATTGAAT